CTCCGGATGACCCAGCCGCCTGAGCCGCCCAGCCCCCAGGCTGAACCCTCCAGCGCAGAGCGGTGCGTCAGCGGCCCTCCACCCGCCTGTACCTGGTTGGCCCCCGGCCGCCGTGGCGTTGCGTCGCAGCGGGTCCTGGGCGTCCTGGGCGCCCACCTCAGTGCCATTGTGCCCCCCCCTCCAGAGACTCCGGGGGCCCTGTCGCCTGGCGGCACGCTGTGGGACAGACGCACGCCGCGCCGCCGGATTGGACCACCTCCTTTCCCCAGACCTCCACGACACACAGATTCCTCATCGCCAGCCCGCATCACGCCGTGGCCCTCCCGTCCAAAGTCACGCCAGACCACCCCCCTGCTCCGGCCGAGCTCATGCGTGCGGCGGTCAATTGCGGCCCCGCCCTCGATATTCATCCTTCTGCCTGATATAAGCATTTGGCTCGCGCCCTTCCGTCACCGTGCATGCCTCGGCCAACGCAAGACCAAGAGGTTCACCTCCTGGCACATCACCACGACGACGACCACGACGGCGACAACGACCACCGCCATCGCTACGAGCACGACCCACGGTCCCGCCCTCCCTACGATTCCTCCGCAGCCCACATTCCGCAGACCGACGACAACACCACATGCACCCCGCGGCAGCAGTCAGACGCCCGCGCCAACTCAAACACTGCTGGCGGCCGTGGCCACAGGACCAGCGGTCCGACCGCCGCTTCAGGTCCTGACAAGGAGAGCGGCCAAGACGGCGACGACGACGACGACGATCCGACACCGCGGCGGCCGCCCGGCGAGGGCATTGAGCTCGACGACATGGACTCCGGCGACGGATCCCCCGGCCGTCCGGGCCTACGCCGCAACGGCCGTTCCGGCCAACCGCTCCTCTACACCAAACCCGAGAGCGACGACCACCACAACGGCGACGCCCACTATGGCCGCCGTTCCAGTGACGAGCGCGCCACGAGCCTCGAGAGCGGCTATGCCTACGATGACACCATCCACCGCCCGTCGCTTAGCCGCCGGTCTACCATGCACAGCCATAACCCGCGCGACGTGACCGCGGCCGAGAAGGCGACGCGCAAAAAGTACACGTACGCTGCCTTCTTCCTCGCCATCAGCCTCGTCTCCTTCTGCGTCCAGACGGAGCTGAGCGCCTACATCCAGCACGACCTCGGCTGGGACAAGGCTTACTGCATGATGTACTTCACCCACGGCTCCTGGATCGTCCTGTATCCGGTGATGCTCGGCACGCTGCGCGTCCAGAAGCTCGGCGAGCCCTGGGAGGTGTTCTGGCGCCGCCACGTCCAGATGCTCAAGACGACCATCGCCATGATCGAGCTGCAGACGCTCGACGTCTTTGCTCCGTCGGCGCAGCGCAGGTCGCGGCCGTTCCTGTACCTGGCCCGCACGACGGCCTTCATCACCTCGGCGCTGACGGTCGCGGGCCTGAGCTGGTACGTGGCTGTCAGCCTGACGACGCCGTCGGACCTGACGGCCATTTACAACTGCTCTGCATTCTTCGCCTACGTCTTCTCCGTGCCGATCCTGCGGGAGCCGCTGCGCCTGGACAAGTCCATTGCCGTCTCCATTGCCATTGTCGGCGTCCTGGTGGTGGCGTACGGTGACACGGGCGGTGGTGAAACCGGCGAGTCCGCTGGCCCGCCAGGGAACACGACGCCCGGCGCGGGGAGCCGCTTCCTGGGAAACCTCGTCATCGGCGTCGGCTCCGTGCTGTACGGGCTGTACGAGGTCCTGTACAAGCGCTACGCGTGCCCGCCCGAGGGCGTGTCGCCCGGCCGCGGCACCATCTTCGCCAACACGTTTGGCGCGTGCATTGGCCTCTTCACGCTCACCGTCCTGTGGATCCCGCTGCCGATTCTACACTTGCTCAACATTGAGAGGTTCGAGCTGCCTGAGGCGTCGACCTGCTGGCTCATTCTCGTCGCCGTCCTCGCCAACGCCACATTTAGCGGCTCGTTCCTCGTCCTCATCTCGCTCACGTCGCCCGTCCTGTCCTCCGTCGCCGCGCTGCTGACCATCTTCATCGTCGCCATCGCCGACTGGTTCCTTACGGGCCAGCCGCTCAGCTGGGCGGCCATCATTGGCGGAAGCATGATCATCGTGGCGTTTGTGGGGCTCAGCTGGAGCACGTACAGGGAGATGACGGAGCACGAGGCGCAGAAGCTGGCCGTGGATCTGACCGACAGCGACGAGGATGCGAGCCTGGCGCCCAGTGACCGCTGAGTGGTACGGCGGTGCCTGTCGGCATGAGCTTCTCTGCGGGTGGATCATAAACCGTGACCTCGACCGTCTTGGATTTTGGAGTTTTGGGCTTTTACCCTGTCTGGGCCATCGACGAGGGTGCTCGGTTGGCATACACGCGGGGCGTCGCGTCATAGAACGAGGGGATATCAAGTCTAGAGGTGTGGCTGCGCCGCATTTGGAATTTGGATCATGCATCGAATTATATACGAAGGCACTGCGATGTCGGGCCTAGATTCGCCATATGGTAACGCAAATCAGGCAAAGGAGCCGCCGTGTGCTATTCAAGGAGTCGCTAAATACTCTTACGGGGGTCCAAGGCGCTTTCAGCACGCACAGATCGCGGGCGTTCGGCATATACGCGCTGGGAATCGTGTTTGTAGTTGCAAGTGATCAGGCAGAATGCCTTCACATAGCTGCTTACAAGTGAGACACGCTCGACTTTTCCGTCTCATCTGCACCGCTCTTGTTCGCTGGCGCAGCGTTTCCCTGGCCGTTCCTCGCCACGAGGCTGGCCTTGCGTGATGTCGTGATGCCCTGCTCGGCGTCGACGACGCCGTGGCCGGCCTTGGCGGCCTGCACGAGCTGCGGGTTCTCGGCCTTGAGGCGAGCAAAGTTCTTCTCCGCTTCCCAGGTCCAGATGCTGTCGCTGGCAAACACGAGGTCCATCTCCTCGAGCGTACGCTGATTGGACTCCGGGTACAGGGCCCAAACGGCGACGATGGAGAGGGCGTTGACGGCGCCGAAGATGTATAGCGTCTTTTCGTTGAGCTTGTTGAAGATGGTGGGGAGGAGCAAGACCTGCACCGGTGCGTGTCAGCCAGGCTCACGTATCAACTCTCGAGACCGGGGGAGCTGTAGAGAACTTACCGTCCAGCCGTTGCCAATGGACCATCCCACGACGCCCCAGGCGTTGCCCTTGGCACGGACCTGCAGGGGGAAGATCTCGGCCGGGTAGAGCCAAGGGACGGTGAGCCAGGTGGCGCCAAAGATGGCCGTGTACAGGAAGACGAAGAAGGTGGCCGCGCCACCGATCTGGCTCTGGTTGCCCTTGCCCTCGGCGTTGATGGTCGCGCGGGCGAGACCTCCGGCAACGAACATGCAGATGCCCTGACCGATGGCGCCCCAATAGAGCGTCCAGCGGCGGCCGATGCGGTCAAGCGTGAAGACGCATATGAGCGTGGCGAACTGTCACAGATGTCAGTCAAAGCCCTCGTGGCGCCTCCCAAGGCTACTGCGGAGGAGGAGCAGGGAAGCTCGCTCTCTCACCATGTATGTGATATTGTTCACGCCGCTGACCCAGAGGCGGTCCTTGGAGCTGATGCCCGCAATGGTGAAGATCTCAGGGCCGTAAATCGTAATACCGGCGATGCCAATCCACTCCTGCAGAATCTGGAGCCAGATGACGAGCTGAACGCGGCGGCCGGTGTGGAGCTTCCCGGAGCCGATGCCGAAGAACATGTGGAAGTAGCTCTGCTGCTTGGCGGTGTCGTCCTCGAGGTTGCGGATGTTGACAATGTCCTGGAACTCGGCCTCGGCGGCAATGGCGTCCTCGCCCTCCTCGCCGCGCAGGCGGCCGAGGATGTAGCGCGCCTCCTCTTCGCGGCCGACCTTGACGAGCCAGCGCGGGGACTCGGGCATGAACCAGATGATGCAGAAGAGGAAGATGAGCGGGACGATCTGGAAGGCGACGGGGAAGCGCCAGATGAACGACGAGGTCGGGTCGTGGTACTTGGACGTGCCACTAAACATCGAACGGCGTCAGAACGAAAAGCCGCAGTATAGAGTTTGAGGCGTGGGGTAGTAAGGCACTCACAACTCCAGCCAGTAAGCCACGACGACGCCAAAGATATTGAGGGTAAACTCGACGGCGACAAACTGGCCGCGCGACTTGTGGGACGCCGTCTCGGTGGCCCAGACAGGGGTGATGGCGTTGAGGATGCCGGTGCCGATGCCGTTCAACACACGAGCTTGCAAGCATCCATTAGCATGGGGGCGCTCGAGCCGCGTCGCGCGCGTGCACGCGATGGTGAAGGCGAGGCAGACTCACCGCAGAACATCCAGTTGGCGTTCATGGCCGCGGACTGCAGGGCAGCCGCGACGACGCACCATATGCAGGCCACACCGATGGTCCAGATGCGGCCATACTTGTCGCCAAGCCAGCCGCCGAGCAGGCAGCCGGCGAGGGTTCCGGGGAGGTAGTAGACGGCGACCTGCGTGGGGGGCAACAAAAAGGGCTCGGGTCAGCATTCATGCGTAGCTCCTCCAGTAGTTAAATGCGGGCAGAAACACGGAAGCGCCCCATCATGTGAAGCAAACGAGAGGCACCAGAGACAGCTGGAGAGCGAGGGAGGGGCCACGTACGATGCCTCCCTGAAGCAGGGGCTTGTCGACGACGACGAGGCCTCGCTCCTCGGAATAGTGGCCGAAGCCCATCCGCTCGGCATAGTCGCGCGTGGTGTTGACGCCGCCCATCAACCCCTGGTCGTAGCCAAAGAAGAAGATGGAGATGCCGGCGACGATGCACACTGTGTTGAGCAGCGAGCTCTTGTAGAGCCTGTTGGCGACATTGTGCTTGTGCAGCGGACCCTTGGAGTCGGCGGCGGCGGCCATGGCGATGGTGTGTGTGAGTCTGCGACTCTTGGGCAGCGAAAGAGAGTTTGTCTCGGAAATCTGGGGTAGCTAGCTGCAGGTCCTGACTCCTGACTCCTGACTCCTGAGGGGGGAACCTGCGTGCCCTTTTAAGCTTGTTGGATTTAGATGTCGACGATCCGCTGCTCCGCGCCCTTGGATGGGCGTCGGCCCCGGGTAATCAGGAGCCCAACTGTCTCGGCTATGGCTGAGCCCACACAAGATGCGCGGTCGTACTACCTGGTGATTCACGAGACTGGAGAAAAAAAACAGTATGGCCCGGGGCCCCGTCGCCTGGGATTGTGGGTGAAGCTGGGGTAAACCTGGGCGAGCCGAGCGCCGGTAGCGTTTTGCCTCGGGGACTTGGGCTACCTGTCCCCGGACGGCGGCGGCGTCTCACTCGCTCACACACTCACACTCACTCGTCCCACGGTGACGGCAGGCAGGGCTTGCAGCTTCCGACGGCCTTGCCGAAGCCACCGACGAACCGGCAACGGCGAGGGTGGGTCGGTAAAGAGTCCCATTGCCGGAGAGCGCACCCTCACCTGCGCCCTCCCTCGGTCCACTCGCCGAAGACGCCGGCATGCGCGCCAATGGCCGCCGCTGGCGCGACTCAGGCTCGTTTCTGGGCGATTCCCGTCACCTTTCGCAATCGTATTTCCATCCCCGGCTCCCCGAGACGCAAGGGGGGTTGTTGTGTTGCTGTCCCTGGCTTGTCGTTCCGCCATTTCATTCACTCCATCTCGCACGCGCAGATTCCGGCAGGGATCTCTCCTCCCTCCATGCGGGGAGAGGCACGCGACGACCAGTCCGGGGACGAAGGCGGTGCTGGTGTCGGGGAACGCCCGGCGAAGCGGCAGCGCCAGGCAGGCGGCAACGACACCGCTGCGGTCGCATCAGGAGTACGTTGTAAACGGCCCGCATTCTCACCGTTCTCTCTCTCCCCCCCCTTTTTTTTTTCCATTTTTTTTTTTTTAAAAAAAAACAAAAAAAAAACTTGTCCATCACTGTCGCTGCTTCTCCGTGCCGTAGGTAGTTTCCGTGGCGCTGGATGGATTCTCACAGACGACGAGGATGAATCGTGACGATGCCCTCCTCGGCGCCATGGATGCACCCGAATCGGCCATCGTGTCCAATTGCGCGCCCGTCCATTGTCATGCAACAGCTTGTGGGCTTCTTGCTGACGCCCAGCCGTGAACCACTAGGCGCCTCACCGGCGACAGGCCGCGTGCCAGCCATGCCGGCTGCGCAAGGTCAAGTGCGACAAGAAGAGGCCCTCTTGCGGCATCTGCACCGTCAGCGGCCAGGACTGTGAATACATTGGCGACCAGACCGACAAGTTGAGGTGAGCCAATGCGCATGCGCCCGGCTGGACCCTGAATCTGAATACCTTGCTGACTTGGAGCCCCTTGCACAGCTTGGAGACGGCAACGGCCACCCTGCTCGACCGCTTTGAGCAGCTCCAGAGAGAGTTTGAAGCGGTTAAGAGGGCACTCCACGCCAGAGGTCCGTTTGCTCTTGTCGGCTCTCATCCCGTCTCCAGTAGTCTCGGCTGATTTCGGCTGCACAGAACAACCGACGCCAAAGCAAACCGCCTCCTTTCCCGTGACATCCGAGGACCGCTCGCAGTCGGCCCAGTTGCCTCCACGACTCTCAACCGTCGAGGCCTCGCGCGACTTCCTGCAGATCCCGCCTCACCGCGCCAGCGCCGACACCGTCCTGCGCTGGGAAGTCTTCCAGGACAAGTATCCGCCCAACGCCCTCATCGGCGGCCTGTTCACCCCCGACCAGACCGAGTCCGGCAGCGCGGACACGCCCTCGTCGGACCTCATCATCAACGCTTCCGGCCTCACTCCGCTCGAGGACGAGCACATACCCAGCCTTATCGATCGCTTCCTTCAAAACGTCCATACCAAGAACCCGATTTTGGACGTGGAAGCCCTCATCAAACACGGCCGCCGCTGTGCGGACCAGGGCATCGGCTGGGACGGGCGGTCGTGCCTGGTCCTCCTGGCTTGTGCGCTGGGCGCCGTCGCGAAGCCCTTTGGCAGATCTGTGCCTCCCACGCCGTCGTCGCTGTCCACGGGCAGTGACGATGCTGCGCGACACGGGCCGCAGAAAGCCTCGTCGCGCCGTTATGCCAAAGAGCTCCAGCTAGGCGACTCGTGCTTCACCCTGGCCTGTCGACGCTTAGGATCTCTCAAGTACTCAATGCTCGGCGCGCAGTGCCACTTTTTCGCGGGAGGTAAGGCGCCGGTGCACTCTGTCCGTGTTGCTTGCCACACGAACCGGGACGCTGACTCGTCGCTGCAGTATATCTCATGTACACGCTTCGCCCGATCCTGTCATGGCATTACTTTCTCCACGCCTCCATTTTCTGCCAGGTCCACCTCCGGATGACGCACGGCATCCTGGGCGACTTCACCGAAGTGTTGAGCGCGCCGTCGCGGCACTCCAGCTCCACCGACCGCAAGTCGCGCCGGCTGGAGCAGAGTCTGTATTGGTCCTGCTTCAAGTCGGAATGCGAGTTCCGGGTTGAGCTCCCCCTGCAGCAATCCGAGATAAGCCTCGGGGAGTACCCCGACTTGTTCCCCTCTCCTCCGTCGCCGATCCCCACGGACGGCAAAGACTTTGGCGCCGAGTCGCCCCATCAGACATCGCCCACGGCTGGCAGCCTTGGCGGGGCTGGCCCCTACGAGTCCCGGGCGAGCGTCACCGACGAGGCTGTGGAGCTCAGGAAACACGCTGTCCGGCTCTGCAACGAGGAGGAAAGCTGGTACTACTACATGACCGAGATCGCCCTGCGGCGCATCGGAAACCGCATCATCAACACATTCTTCAGGCAAGAGAGATCTACATGGGCTTACATCAAACCTCTACTCAGAATGGCGCAAGAGTTTGAGGCACAGGTCTCCTCGTGGTCCGCCCATCTGCCCCCGGCGATGCAGCACTACGAAACCACGTTTATAATCCGCGCGCCGCACTTGAACTGGAGCGAAGCAGGGGGCAGCCATGCCAGCAGAGAGTTGAGTTGGGCCATCGACAACCGTCTCCTCGAGATGCAAACCTGGCTCTACCAGCCTTTCCTCTACTACCTCGTACACTTTGGATCAGCAAGAGCCGCCGGAACAAGCCAGCAGCCTCGCATAAGCAGCCTTCTGAATCCATTCTCCCCCCCAGAGCACGACTCTCCGCAGTCTATGGACTCGTTCAACGCGCGCGCCGCCGTCGCCGGGTCGGCTCTCGATGGGCAGGACCTCGCGGTGCTGCACTCGCTCATCGCCTCGGGCATCGAGTGCTCGCTCAAGACCATTGACGTGCGGTCGCGGGGTCACCGCCACCACGGCCTGTGGTACGACCTGAGAAGCATCATGTGCGCGTCGCTGGTGCTGCTCGCCGTCGTCAAGAGCGGCAACGCCGCCTGGATACCGGGCGGCACGGAGACGCTCTGGGGCGCCGCGCCGTCGTCCGACTACTGGATGGGCACGCAGACACCGATAGGCGGCAAGATCGCAAAGGTGCTAGCCCAGTTTGACTTTTGGGCGGGCGAGGCCCCGGACCTGTTGCGCTACAAGGAGGTGCTCGAAACTGTTGTACGGGATGTCAGAGGGTCATGAGAGAAGAGTGTAGATGGGATTGCCAAGATTGCGTTACCGGGGCCTTGGAACCTCCCCCCCCCCTCTTTGTAGCGTCACTAGTAACGTTATAGCTATACCTATACCTTGGCACATGGGCCATGGAAGTTTTCGCAGATGGGTCTAATATTTACTGGTCAAATGCCGTGTACAGAGCGTCGGGATAGATCCTACATCTCTTGGAAAACAAGCTTTGTTGATCGATCGCTCTCGCCTGCCTCCGCTCTGACCAGCTCAGCCAGCATAGGCCGGCCGACTAAATCAGCCACTGCCTCGACCTCTGCACACGCAACAGTGGACTTTCTCTGCTGCCGGGGCTCGACGTCAATATAGCGGTCATCAAGTCGACAGGTTCACCCTCAGGCGAAACACCAGTCCCAAAATAGGAACCCGAGTCGCCACGAAATAGACATGAGAAATTGCGCATTTGCATTGAGAATATGGCCGTGAGGTGCAGAAGCCTGCGCTTTTGCTTTGTCTTCCCAGTCATTGCCCACAAAACCATTAACCAACACCGGCCAGACAGTACCAACCCAGAACTATGCATTACTGTTAATTTGTAGTTTGTACCCATGCTCCCATTTATGTGATTACATCAAGTCGTGAGAAAGGCCGTCTCTTGGACACTGTCGATGGGGCTCAGAGACCGCAGTCGGACAGAGGAGCACGCGTGGCCGTGGCGTCGACGCGGCCAAATTGCTCGGCCTGGCCGTTGGTCAGGTCATTCATGGCGGCCAAGGCAATGTTGAAGCCCGCGGCGGCATGGTCAATGGCCAGGACGTTGATGCTGCGGCCCTTGTACTCGAGCTTCCAGCACCCGCCACACTCGGGCGAGTTCCATCCGGCAACGACGCCGACACCACCGACGTACGGGAAGCGAGGGGCATTACCCAGCACCTTCCAGCCGTAGCGGGTCATGAGGCCGTTTTCGCCGTCGGAGCAGGCCACCTCTGTGAGCGAGCGGCCGCCGCCGTCATATCCCCTGTCGTAAGACACTGAGAAAGGTCTGGTGTGAGCCGCGATTCACTGATCGACCAAAGTCATGGGTATCGAGAGACCTACCGGTATCAGCAATTGCGGTGCCAGCAAGAGCCATGACGCCGAGTAACTGAGAGAAGTGCATGATGATGGTCGTTGTGTTTCAGGTGGCAATGCTTAAAATCGGCTGAGGTGGGCAAAGGCTCTGTCTTGATGTTCGACTAACTCAAGCTTGTCTGATTTGACACTTTACTCTCTCACGGGGAGGGTCATCAGGTTAAATAGTTCCCGAAGCGAGGACATGCGTCGGCTCTTCGGTACGGGGCGCAGCTATTCGTATAACACAGCATCTCCACCGGTTGCCTCAACTGTTGTTGCCTCACCGCAAGCCGTTGCCGGCTGCCCCGTGCGCCTCGTTCGGTAGATGGAGGCATCAGAACCGCTGTATCCACAATGCTACCGCGAGGTCCCGCGAGGCCCCGACCCGTGAACCGACGCCCAGCCTGTGAGCAGTCAAGGAGTTGCATGACGATCGTTGGCCGCGCACGTTCGTATTTCGGGCAGCGTCAGATTGCCGTATGCAAACCAACATTGGGTGGTGTCGACCGCGTATCCTACAGTATGCAAGTCCCTATTATTAGAGTATTCGTACTTCGTGCCGTGGCTCGGTGCAACATGCTGAAGGTTACCGTGGCCAGCGCTCGTACGGGCGGTTTACCCCAGCCGTGTGGTCCAAGCATCCGAATTACGCAGTGAATGACACGGCCAAGTCCCTTTCCGACGCCCGTGACCCAATCGACGAGGCGAGCTGTTCGTATTGGATGGGGACATGAGGGCTGCACGGTGCACCTGACGGGAGTGGGCGGGCCACAGATCAATCTACAGTGAGACATGATCGGCAGAAAGAACACAGATTTGGGCCGCCGTCGTCATTGATCATGAGCTCGCGGCGAAACATACGAGGACGCGGCCATTGCTGATCGGCTGTGCTCGTATCTGTCGAGGCGACGCTGCAACAGAACCCCGCGTGCGTTGCGCCGGTATGTAACCTGGCCGTTAATTATAGGAGCTGTGACTGCTTTTTGTAACGGGCGCGGCCCGATGCCGAATGGATGGCGATGTCAAAAGATTACGTGGAAATACAAATGAGGCTCTGTTCCCTTCGTCGCTGTCACACTGGCTTCCTGCACGAACTGTCATAATAACATGACCTCCTGCGGTCCTGGGGAGACGGACGGAATGATGTTTGCAGTGACTCTTCCATTTGCAAACGGTTGACTGCCGTCCACTACGCCCCGGTCTCGCGTCTTAGCGGAGGCCCGGCAATGGCCGACAACTGGGGCAATGTCATCAAGCCGGCTTGGTGCGTGCCGTTATGCGTGTTGGTCGCACTACATCGGCGAGAGGCCACCTGCCGCATTGCTTCTCAGACCCCTTCGCAGGCAATCGAGGGTGCTCAACGGCTTGCAGTCACCTTGAAACCGAACTGGGAGAGCTGACGACCCGGCACAAAGAGTCCTCGACTCTCCATCTGTGCCAACGTGATGGCAGGGCCTGCGGCACAGTCAGTGGAGGCTGTGCAAAGCGGCGACCCCGACTCGTGCCGCGTCATTGGCTCTTCTCCCCATTGACGGACGGGTTCCGGTGTTTTGGGGACCAAAGAGGGTGAGTCGAAGCCAATCGTGGGAAAGCCGGTTGATACCCAGTCAGACTCATTGTCGACCGGCGATGTGCCCTTGTGGGTGATTGGCAGTCACAGCTCTCCCGACCAGCACAAGTCCCGCTCGCCGCGCACGACGCTTTGTGCGACATCCGTGTCGAGTGCCGAGATCGTGGCGACCGCCTGTGTCCTCTGTGTTTGGTGGGCATTGCTGCGCGTCGCGCCCGGCGCTGTGAGGGGTTTGCCAACATCATGATCATGCCACTTTACGCCCAGATGGGAGTAGGGCTGGGAATGAAATGCTGTTGCTGTGCTGGTGCTGTGCTCTGCAACCGACGCGGGAAAAGCTGCAGACCTGCCTGCCGGCCAGCCCTGTAGGGCGCCATCGACTCCCGCCCCAGGATGCCGGCGTCACAGCGACGACCGTTTGGAGTTAGCGGCCCCGCAGCCACGCAAGACGGTCGTTCGTGGCGTTTGGTAGCACGGCAAAGGACCGTTGAAGAAGGAAATGGCGTCGGATGGCAGCCGGGAGAAAATATCGAGCACTCGCTCCTGCGCTTCTGGCGCAGCAAGATGCAGCTCATTTTTGTCGCCAAACACCCTGCCGAGCGCCAACAGAAGGCTTGCAAGTTGCTCCCGCGGTCGCTCCTTCCCAGTCAGGTCGGAGACGGACGGGGCGTGGGCCAGAACCTAAATGGACAGCGACGGCACAGCTGAAAAAGCCCATCGTTTCTCGCCGGTAAAGCCACAACCTTATCCTGGAAGCTCGCCATTGTGCTGCCACAGCCAGCTGCTCTCCTCCAGTCTGTCATGATTCCCACCGACATCAATGGCCGCCACCGTCGACGATGCAAAAATCCAGCCTCTGTCGGCGTCTTCGACGGCCTATGAACTCGATGACATGGCCGTCTCCATCAAGCCCCTGCGGCCCAACAGCCGCCAGGCCTCATCGTCGTCGTCGTCGTCGCAGCGAGCCGTGTCTAGCTACGCGTACGAGCAGTTCCACCGCGGCAAGCAGCTTCGCCACATGGGACTGCTCAGCCTTTGCCGGTGGCTCCTCACCGTTGCGCTCGCCATGTCCATCTACGGCGTCATCTGGAGCTACTCGGACAAGGAGGCCATGCCGGCCAGCAAGAAAAAGGAGTTCAACTCGCTCGTCATTGGCCTGTCCATCGCCCTCAGCTTGAACCTGGCCAGCTCCCTCAAGGGCGACGTCGGCGAGCTACGGTGGTGGCTATTGAGCCTGCGCGACTACACCCCACGGGAGGCCGATTTGATTTTGCAGAGCGAAAGCCTGAGCCGACTCGTCATGCTGGGCTGGACGTCGCGCCGCCCGGTCGTACAAGCCTTCGTCTGTCTGTTCGTGGCACTGAACCTGGCCTCGCAAATTGCGCTCGCCCTGCTCGGCATCACCTACAACGTCAACCCGGCCGACAAATTCACAGTCACTGCGCCAGGCATCGTCTCGATTCCCGACATGTCAGACATCCAGGTGGGACCGGCGCTTGCCAGGAACGCCTCCCGAACCCTCAATGAATCCCAGGCCATTAATGCTAGACGATACACTGCCAACACTTTTGGCATGGTGTCCATCGCTTTCGGGGACGACGACATCGCGACCCTGCCCAAACCCGGCAAGATCTACAACCCCGACGACCCCTTCTTCTTCTGGGACGACGAGAAGGGATCGTACACCTTCGTCTTCTACGAGTCGTCGCCAGACGGTGCAGTCTACTACTCCAACGTGGCCTCAAACCGCACAATTTCAGTACAGGCCGAGTGCGACAGCTGGCGCGTACTGAAGGGCGGCGACGGACTCAGTGCCAACATCACCGTGCAGTATAGCGACGGAACCAAGGAGGACTGGGAACTGCCGTCTGTCAATGGCCCGGATCAAAGCATCTTTCTCCATGACCCGGCAAAGCAGTCTTGGGATAGCTCGGGCCAAGTCGACGTTTTCGAGGCGTCAAAAACAGACCCCTGGGCGTATAGCTGCAATATCACAGTTGAGCCCGTGGTAAATGCGGTCATCAAAGAGCAAGAGGTCGGCGTCAACGTGACGCGGTACGCAGCGCCGGCGATTGCTCTCCAAGGATATGGCTCCTCGGTGTATGGCCTGACCAACGACACCAAGCAATACCAATGGCAGAGCTACCCAGCCCAGTCGGTCTTTGGAGCGCCCGTCAACGGTTCTGCCGAGACCATGGCCAGGACCGTCTCGAGGTACGCGATTGGCAGCATCGCCATCACGACGCAGAGCAACGGGAACATCAATGCTCGTGGCATGGTACCCCAGAAGGGCATCACCCTCGAGATTACAAACTGGACATATCTGCACCTCATCCTCGGCCTAACGGTCGGAATCCAGCTGCTTATCGCTGTCGTCTCGATTCTCGTGGCGAACCGGGTGCAGGTGCGGTGTCATAGCTACCTCTCAATGGCTGCGCTCTTGCGACCCGCGCTGCAGGGCGTCAGTTGCAGGGGGAGCGCGGCAGACGGGCAGGAAGTTGCCTCCATGATGGGCAAGGATACACGACTTCGATATGTCCGGGACCGGGGTGGTGGCTTCCAGGTTCAGTCGAGCGAGCTCTGAGTAATTTCGGCGGCAGGATACACTGTCATTGTTTTCATTTACATAGCGACTGGAGCTTCCTGGGAAATAAAATGTACGATTGAGAAATATCCCATAATTCGGAACCTAATTACTAACATAGGCCATGGGCGTCTCGTCGTCACGGCTGGGTGGTCTTTGCCACCTCGCTCTAATGCAACGCTTCAATGTTCATTCGGCACAACAAACTGCAGCACGGCATTCCTTGAGCACACACAACAGACTTACCTCCAAGGTTATCTCCTCGGGAAAGCTCCGCTTGAGAACGACTCTGGTGTGTGCCGGAGGCCTGCCCATAAGGCTGAGTAGAGAGAGGTGGGCCCATCAACGGCCGAAGCCAGAACAGTCAATTGCCGAATTGAGTGGCAATCGGCAAAGTTATGCCCTCATGCAGCAAAGGCGAATTGCTGCGCAAACCCGCCTCGTCTGAGACAGAATGAGCCATCGCGCAGTGACTGTATCCCACAAGTGTTGCTCGATTCCTCGCCCCACAGACACGCGTTGGCATATATGGCAAAGGCAAAAGGCAAAGCCAATGGGTGAGTCACTCGGTGACCCTTGATTACTGAAAGACTCCGGAAGCACCACTGCGTCCTCCGTCGCTTAACCATGCACAGCCACGCCCCATTGATGGCGCGTTCGCTGGGTAGCAAGAATTTCCCAACATGCGCCTTTATTGATATCATATGCCCGTGCGAAGCTGAGCATGGCTGCCGGCAATCATTGAGCAGCAGTTGCAGTTCTCGGCACGATCCGACGACCCCCGTGCGTCAGTCATGGCCCTGGCCTCTGTTGCGAGCCTCTCCAGGCTCCTGTACGTGACGTCCACGCTCTTGGTCTTATTTTTCGTTTTCATTTCATTTCTCCTCAATTACGGCAAGAAGAACCACGAAGAGCGCTCGGTACTGCGGAAGACTGTCCTCAGGACGGCCGTAATTTGTCTCATTGCAGGAGCATATGTTGCTGAGGCTGTTCTTGTGGCACTCCGCGGAGATGGTCTGGGGCAGCGCCAGGACCACGCCGTTGCGGCAGGCTACTATGCCCTGGCGTGGGCCGCCGTCTGCCTGAGACCCCGACTCGTGGTCACGGAGATCCTTGGCGTGGCGACGCTTTCTCTTCTGTTTGGCGTCGCATCATTGCTCATCGAGGTGGCGTCGGGCGGGCACACACAGAAGCAATCGGCCGTGCTGGCGGTCCAGATCAGCCGGCTTCTCCTCGCCGTTTGCCCGCTCGCAGATTGCCTCTTCCGACGTCCCTGGCGTAAACAACAAAGCGGCGGGAGCGCAGAAGAGGCCACTGCCTTCCTGGGAGACGGCGCGGAGAGCCCATCGTACGGCACGGATCGGCAGTCAATCAGTAGCGACTCGACACGGGGATTAGGCATGGCTAACGAGGACGACGTCAATGACGACGATGACGACGACGATGACGGCAAGGATATCCGAACGACGCAACTGCGCAAGAGCGGCAGCTGGACCGTCTATCTCGAAAACTTCAAAGTCTTCCTCCCGTACCTCATCCCAAGGAACGACGTCAAGGTCCAAGCCTGTCTCGTGGTCTGCATGCTTTGCCTCATCGGCGACCGAGTCTTCAATATCCTCGTCCCCTCGCAGCTCGGACTCATCGCCGACAAGTTGCTCGACCGGCAGCTCCCCTACGCGGATCTCGCCATCTACTTGGTCCTTACGCTCGTGCACGACAACTCGGGGATGCAGATGATCCTGGCGCTGGCCAAGATCCCCGTCGAGCAGTTCTCGTACCGGCGGCTCACCAACGCCGCCTTCGCGCACGTCATGTCGCTCGCCATGGAGTTCCACGCCGACCGCGACTCGGCCGAGGTGATGAAGGCCGTAGAGCAGGGCGGCGCTCTCACGCGCGTGCTCGACACGGCAGTCCTGGAGATGCTCCCCACGGTCGCCGACATGGCCGTCGCCTTTGTCCTCCTATACGTCAAATTCAACTCGGCCGTCGCGCTATGCATGGTCACGGCGTCGCTGCTCTTCCTCGCCGCCGAGGTTGTCACATCTAGCTGGAACGTCGATAACAGGCGGCGCGTTACGCGCGCGGAGAGGCGCCAGGCGAGGGTCATGCATCAGGCCGTCCAGGGCTGGGTCACCGTCTCGGCCTTTAACATGTTCTCCCACGAGCGACAGCGTTTCGGCAGCGCCGTCGACAAGCACCTCGCCGCCAAGATGGACTGGTCCAAGTGGGATGCGTACATTACGGCGCTAAGTGAGGCCCTCATCCCCGTCACATTCTTCTCGCTGGCATGCCTCGTCGTGCACGAGGTTCACGCGGGGAGGTCGTCGCCCGGCGACTTTGTCTTCCTGATCCAGTACTGGGACTTCCTCATCTGGCCCATCAAGTTCCTGTCGCATGAATACCGCTACCTTATGGCGGATCTCATTGACGCGGAGCGGCTGCTCGACCTTCTCACCACGGAGCCCACCGTCTCGGACAAGGAGGGTGCGCCGCGGCTCGGCCCCGTCGTCGAGGGCAAGGTCGAGTTCGACCACGTCGACTTTGCGTACGACGACAAACGCACGGCCATCCGAGACGTCAACATCGTCGCCCAGCCAGGGCAGACGGTCGCGCTCGTCGGCACCACGGGCGCGGGTAAGTCGACACTTGTAAAGCTTCTGCTGCGGTACTACGACGTGACGGGCGGTGGCGTGCGCATCGACGGGCAGGACGTGCGCGACGTGACGCAGGGCTCGCTGCGCGATGTAATTGGCGTCGTGCCGCAGGACCCGCTGCTCTTCAACGCCTCCATCATGGAGAACCTACGGTACGCGCGCTTGTCGGCCTCGGATGATGAGATCTACGAGGCATGCCGTGCGGCATCCATCCACGATAAGATCCTATCCTTCTCAGACGGTTACTCAACCAAGGTTGGCGAGCAGGGCGTCAAGTTATCGGGTGGCGAAGTGCAGCGGCTGGCCATCGCGCGCGTCTTCCTCAAGGACCCACCAGTGCTGATACTCGACGAGGCGACGAGCGCCGTCGACATGGAGACTGAGGCCGAGATCCAGGCGGCGCTGCGGCGCGTCAGCAGGAGACGCACGACCTTTGTGGTCGCACACCGGCTGTCGACCGTAGTGCGGGCTGACCAGATCCTCGTCCTGCACGAGGGCTCCATCGTGGAAAGGGGCAGGCATCAGGAGCTACTGGATAAGGGGGGCAAGTATGCCGCCCTATGGCGCAAGCAGCTTGGCAGTACCGATGAGGATGTTCTTGTTGACCTATAGATTTTGCGATTTTTATCTCCTACTCTTAGAATCACTCTAGCAAGCGTTGCTACCGATCGATAGAAGATATTCCGACCACTTTTGCATGCCCGTTGCCATTCTCACGAACACGCAACACCCTTTTCTCAACTGCAACGGCGAGACCATCAGTGCTAAACCTACTCGATGTCGGTCCCGGCCGTAATGATGTCTCTCACCACCTCGGCGGCTCGCCTGAGGCGCTCAACAAACTCATCCGACTTGCCCTCCCCATTGATCACCGTGAATTGAACACTATTCGCAACGTAGTCAGCCAGATTGCCCCTCACAAACGGGGTGCGTGGTGCTGTACTCACAACTCATCAAAGACCTGCACACCAACCCAGACGTCGCCCTTGCGGGGCTGGCATCTCCCCATCTCCGGCAACCCAAACTCGGTGAAGCTCGTGCAGACCGGGCGCTCCGTCGTCCTCTTGTATATCTCATCCTGGTAGAAGCCCGGAAGCTCCTCGCCGGGTCTTAACATTTCGAGCAAGGCCATGAGATGCCAGCGAAACCCCTTCCCTCGTGTCGATAGCGTCACGAGCCTCGCATGGGACTGGACCGCCTCCAGGAACAGCCGTCTCTTTGTCCCAGCGCTAACACTGGGGTCTTCGGCAGCGGCACAGAACGCCTCAACGGCCGGCGTCATTAGATAGATCATGTCCGTCCGCCCTCCGCGGAAAGGACGTAAGGATATGACATCCACGTCGCCCAGGGGGCTGAACCCGAAGAGGCGGCGAATGGCGACTTGGATCACAAGCTGAATGACCGTTTTTGGTGGAAGCTTGTGCTGTCGTAGATATGTCGCCGCGTAGTCTGTGTGCTTTAGATTGGCGAGAGTGTAGCCGCTGTGGCTGGGTTGGTATTGGGCTCGGAGAGCGACGACGTTTTCACTGAGAGTCGGGGGGATGGTACATGGGAGATGCTGAAAGTCGCTGCCAGTCACCGCCGGCTCCGTGACTTCCCCATTAGATGTTTCGTCGAACTCGTCCGTGGCGAGGGCTTTGATGAGACCGCCAAAGGTCGTGCCGTCGACCATGGTGTTCTCGCCCCAAATCGCAGACACCCCGTTGGCGCAAACGATGAAGGCAAGCGTCTTGTCCAGCCACCGATTCGAGTTGTCGTCTAGAAGGAAGACACTCGCGCGCTCCGTGGCCGATTCTGGAGCTGCATCCTCAAGGTTCACGATGAATAGACACCGCTCCACCGCCGTGATAAACTCCTGATTGCTTTGACTGGTCGCCATGACCTCTTGCCGGCTCTCCAGCGCTGTCAGTTGGCCTGTCTCGCACCAAGAACGTCCCATCTCCTTACATTTGCCCACTTGTCGCGATGGTCAGCAGTGAGAATACCCACCCAGTTTATGTCGTTGGGTGCCTGCTTAGATATCGTCTCGAAGATGGATTTCACTTTGTCATATGCTATGACCTGCCCATTACCGTCCCTGAGTGGAACCTGGTATGCATGGCCACGTTTCATGGCAATCAAGTGGTCACTCTCTGGGTAGCGATTGTAAGTATCACAGTCCGGGGCCGGGGTGCGATTGGAACTGAACAGCCAGTGTAAAGTCGCTACTGTCGCTGTTCGAGTTAGCAACCTCGCTCCCCTCGATCTCATCTCATCCAGCAAGGCGGTATTCACTGTCGAGTGCTTGTTCATTATAGTAGTCTTGGCCAACAGTACCCGCATCCAGCGCTAGTTCATACCCATACGCCGCCAGGGAGAGCCGCGCCGCTTGGTCGGCCTGAGGGCGACGAGCTGTGTCCTGGCCGGGAAGCGTGGAGAAGAAGTTGCGCAGCCGAGGTCGCCAGTCTCGCCAGCGCAGCCACTTGTTCCTGACGTACATGTCGACGACCTCGTCGTTCTCGCCTTGCTCGCCCGAGTGCTGCACCAGGCGTGCCTGCAGCTGCTGGCCGAATCCGCCGGGGCTTTGCAATTCTGTTATGGCTTGGTGGGTGCGTTCTAACTCCTCCTTACTTCCGATGTGGCTGACGGAGTCAAGGAAATCTTACAAGGTCGCCTCCAGCGGTTGCAGAAGTGCTCAGTGTAGTCGCCGACAGTCCAAATGCAGACCAGGCAAGATCAGAAGGTCTCTTTGAGTCTTGCAGTAGACGTTCACGTAGACACAGCTGCTAAGATGGGCAGCGAGGACCCTTGAAGGTAGCTACCCATTCCGCAGGTGGTGCCGTGTGGCCTCCCATCAGTTGATCTCTGGCATTGCTGGGGTGAGTTTCGTCGAGACCTGGGACCTCAAAACATGCTCGGGGCTGTAGAATAGGACATTAGCTACCACTCCCAGTTGTTTGTCTCTCACTCGAGCTAGCTTGTCGCGACACGCTGTAGCTGCGCAAGCACCCTCTAATGACGTGTAGCTCGCCGGCCTCACTATTCCATAGCAATGCGGCAGTGCAGACGTATGCAGCCATCTAGCTAAACAACACCACAATAGAATGTCGTACAAACACATGGAATTATGCCACGACCCAGTTTACTTTTGTGCTTGGCACCGTGTCCATCCTGCTTTGGGTCCAGAAGATGCCAACCTTGCACAGATATCTCTTGATCCCTGGTGTGGGGAGCCGTATTTTGGCCGTCTGGAGCAGCAAACCAAACTGCAGTCCAAAGTCGTCGGACAGGACCACGGCATAGTAGACAGATTTCTTACCAGCCAATTCCCGAAGCTTGGAGCGCAGGTCCGTGTCGGGATCCTTCTTGAGCATCATCCTACCTCTCCCACTTCCCTCCTCCCTCTCTCTGCCTATGGTAGTGACGAGAGCCTTGATGGGAGCCTCTTCGTTCTTCAGAGGGTCCTCGGACGAAGCCAAGATGCCGGCATAACGAATTCGCACGCCAGAGTTTTCCTGGATCACCCAGCCGGCCACTGCCTCGTGATCCCTCCTCCTCAGCTGGGACACTGGAGCGGCCGCATACACCGAGGAAACCCACCCGTGGTTCTTGGTGAAGGGCATCATGCTGCCGACTTGATAGTCGCCGAACCCGGTCAAGGTGTCAAACTTCTCCATGCGGTAGGCGTTGACGTCCGTCAGGGCCGAGTAGAAGGACGACCCCAACTTGCTGGCGGCTTCGCGAATGAACGAGAGGGGAAACGTCTCGAGCACGAGCACGTCATCGTCATGTCCCGTACTACTGACCTTGCCGTCCTTGTCCGGCTTGCACTCCTTGTACCAATCCACGACATCAAGAGCCGACATGATGGCCACTGCGCGGGACCGCTTACATACACGGAGGTTGGCGTTGATCATGACGTCGATGGGGGTTAGTTGTCTGAGGACCCAGCCGAGCTGCGTCTTATGCGACAGTCGGCTGAGTGCCAGGCAAGCATCTGGGATTTGACTTCCAGACGTGTTACCCACGCTAATGAGCTGCTTGGTGCGGACTCCGGATGGGGTTTTGGGCAAATCAACGAGGGTAAGGAGCGTGGACAGGGACACCGGCGTCCCAGTTCCGTCACTGAGCGTCTCCATAGTTCTGGTGCACAGCTGCAGATTCGGACACAGGACAGTCTCCTGAAGCGTCCAAAGGGAAGAGAACCAGCTAGACGGCTCCACGCTCGTTCCAGGCTTCAGGAGTTCAGGTTGGGCCCTTGCCCTTCGGTGAGTCTCTTGGCGAATCTCATCGCTCACCTCTAGATCCGGGTGGTTGCAAGTGTTCTGCAGGTACCGGAGCCCGATATCGTCGAGAGCAGCGGCTGTGACTTTCCACTCCTCGACGTCGTTCAGCCACGCCACGCATGCTTTGGATCGTCTAAAGATGGCAGTCTGGTTGGCGACCTCGGCATGGTGCTCCGGGGAGTCATTCTGCGGTAGGCAAAAGAGGTCGAGCCAGACGTAGTCCGCCTTGAGGCCAAGAAGCATTTCTGGGACGTCGAGAACGTCATACAAGGTGTTCGCCTTGATCTCCCACGGCACGTTGGGGACACGCACAAGCTTCGGCGGCCGGCAAGTCCACCGCCCCCAGGTGTGGCTGACACACACGTAGTCAGGGCACTTCGCGAAGTCGCTCGTCCGAACCGTTTGCTTGGCCTTCACATCCCACAGATAGCGCGGAGGATCGGTGGCGACGTCCAACATCAATGCGTAAGCGTCGCGGGAGATGTCGCCCATGGGCGGCTCCTGGAAGAAGATGTTGTTTTTCCACCCGTCCGTCTCTCGTACCGGCTGGACGTACGCTGGAAGGGCCGGCTCGTTTTCGTTTGTAGGGCTCCTCAGAACAAGAGATCTGTAGGTTGCCCAGGAAAAGCGCATATGTATGGCGTGCCGCGCCGCGCCTCGTCTGCAGGCCATCAGGTTGAGAAGTTTGGGCCGGGGGATATGCGGCTCCCACTCCATGGCATGGAATTCGCGAAAGAAGAGCTCAAGACAGGCGGTATGGTAGTGGGAATGGCACGTCCACTCGTGAAAAAAATCGGACGACGTCGGCGGTGTAATCGATGCCCTTTGACAAAGCTCCTCCACGGACGCAAGAAATGCATCGATGTCTCTCTTTGGCGAGTACCGAGAGTTCCACCAGTCGTCGAGGATGCCGAATGACGTTTTTTGGATTGGAGATAGCTCCGCACGGAACTTGTCAGAGGACCCGTAGAGTTCTCTGAAGCGATTCCAGTCGCGCATGGCCATCTTCCACGAGTACAGCCTATCAACTTGGAGATCCTCCTTCGAGGTCTCCACGATGTAGAGATGAAGGGCGTAATATAGGGGCACCTTGCCGAAGATGCCGACCTGGTTTGGAGAGTATTCGCGGCGCAACTTGTCGTCTGCCCGCCTCCAATCCTCCAGAGGTTCCTGAAAGTCCAGCCGGTGGGCGCCAAGGGCCACTCTCCTCTCCTCGAATGCGTCATACTCGGCCCAGGACTCGTTCCACATGTCATTGTACTGGTCGGAGAATTGGTAGCGGGACGTCAATTTGACGTAGAACTTGGGTGCCAGCAAATTTGCCGCAAACCTCTCAAAGTCATGGTAAAAATTGGCTTGTTCCGGGCTCGAGGCCTGCTGCACGGCTAACTTGGGGTCCATGTTGCGTGATGCGGATTTGCTTGCCCTCAACGATGGCTTCAATGCTCTGCGCTGGAGCTTGATTCGCGCGAGTAATTTGTTGTCAAGACCTCTCACTCGGTGCCTGAATCTGGTTGCTTCATGTGAGCTGAGGTCTGGTCGGCTACGGCCTCACCGTCTCAGCCCCACAGCGCTTCAAGTCCGACTCCGAATCATGCCAGCTTGAGTCCAGTGCAGAGACAACACGCATCTCAGCAGAGGCCGAGGAACAGGCACACAATAAGCCGGCCAGGAGAATTGCCGTGGGCGCAAGCGGGACCACCCGATGGTCGATGCGTTGATTCGCCAGAGTGCGAGCATAGGCGACGACTGCCTGCATGATTGCTGACTGCAGGGGAGGCCATGCCTTTTTCGTTTCACGCTCTGATCATGGTGAGAACCCCCCGGATCGCGACAGGCGCCTCGGACACTTACTCTTTGTTAGGTGCCAAGCTGCTTTGTGAAGACTCGCTTCCGCTTCTCATGATCCTCAGCATATACCAACACACGGCATCACCATGTCCGACCCTGGTGGCGGCGACGTCTTTGGCGCCTTCAACGCCTTGCTCGGCTACCTGGGCGGGCAGGCCGCGACCACAACCATATTTGACCGCTTCCTCTGGCCGCAGCGCCATTTCTCGTCACTGAGCCTCGAGAGCATCCCGCGCCTGGCCCTGCTCTATTCCATGGCCGGACCCATCAGCCCCGCGGCCCTCGAGGTCATGGACGCGGTCTACCGCTATGGGCTGTTGAGCGGCGCGGTCCAGGGCCACATGCTGGGCACGGCATTCTACCGAGACCTTGGCATGAGCTACACGATGCACGCACTGGGTGCCGAGCCCGAGCGTGTGTCGCAGGTCCGCAACTGCATTTGGGTGCAGGCGCTTTTGAAGATGCCCATACCGGACCTGCAACGACCTCGGCAGGACAAGGCCGCTGAAGAAGGTCGGCCGTTGGAGCAGGCAGGTAGCACCGGAAGGCAGCCTGTTCGGGCCAGGATTACCGTCGACCACTTGGTACTTGCCAAAGCCACGGCGGCCGACATTGCCAACGGGGGGCTCCCTGTGGTGCGCGAGGGCATAGGCAGCATCGGACTGGAGACGATGTTGGCCATCTGCCTGGCCGAGCTCAGCGGCATCGGCGTCATGGTCGGCGTAGCCGTCATCCTGCGCTCGCCGTGGGCCATCCTCTTCGTCATGCCGCTGGTGATGCGTATCCTGGGCGCCCTTCTCGCCGTGCATCGCGAGGGCCTCGATGACTTGTCGGAAGCGCCCGACGACGAGGCGCATCGTGTCTGGGAGGTGCAGTGCCCGGCCACCGAAGGCAAGTTCATACTCATCTCGGGGCCCCCGAGCGTGGTGAACCAATTCTTCCGACACTACGGGCACCCGGTGCGCAGCCAGGCGCGCGAAAGGGCGCAGCTTGTCCTCATTGTCGCGTTCGGGACCTTGTTCCCCGCCAGCCTGTTGTGCCAGGTGTTGTGGATGCCACGGACGATCCAGTTGGTGTGGACTGTGTGGCAGATCTGGCTCGTCATCGCGATGCACCTGGACCGGTACTCACAAAAGGGGACGTGGCGGTCGACCGCGGATGCGAGCATCGGGAGGGCCTTTTCCCAGACAAGGACCGTCGACTTTGACAATAAGTGCACCGAGACGTCGATTCTGTTTTGCCAGACGCTCAACAAGCCGGGGGTTATCAAGGCGACGCTAAATACGACGCTTGCGAGCAGCTACGGTAAGGGGAAGAAGTATATGAAAAGTTTAGTATAGTATTCCTCTAAGATATCTTAAGACCGGATCTATGCTTAGCCTGACCTCGGGGATAGTTCGAGGCTATTATTACTAGCGATAAATAAGAGATTAAATAGGGCTATTTAACGACTTTATATTAATGCGGATAGTCGAGGGGGCCACGGCACTATTTGCGACGCGAGGACTAATAGTATATAGCTATATAAGGTGACTGCTAGCTGCCGAGAGTGAAAATTGAGCATATATACCGCGGCGGATGTTCGAAGCCAATGCCATTATATAGTTTGCTCCCTTATCGAGTCATACGCCTGTCTCGAAGGGACATCATATACCGTACCTGTCCCGACATATCGTCGACCTCTTTTTGGCCATCTTTCTCTTGCTGCCACATGACCATATGTCTGCGAAAGTAGTTCCTTACAATCCCCCAGAGCCCCTGGTGCCGACGCGTCAGACACGCGTCCACATCAAGCTCGGTCAACAACCTGCAATTACAAGAGCTGCCACCGAACTTGTGCCGGGCTTCTACCGTAGGGAACAAAATACTGACGCGCAACAGACCGTCCCAGTTATTCCGTGATGATATGATCGGCAACAAATCCCACTTGGCGCAATTTTCAAGTCGCTGGGCTCGCAATGTCGAAGAAGGCCTTCTCTCCAGGGCCGTGATACGACAGTCGCGATATTTCTGGCAGTTGCATCGCTCTGGATTTGGATTTGTGTCGTCGTCGATCATGATGGCCACGAGGGAGCGCCTGGATTGCTGATCTCTTGTGAACATGACGAGCAGGGGGTTACGAGGCACGGGTCGCATCACACCCTGGGCTGTGGTGGTGGTTCTCTGATCGATCCTGGCTGTGGCAACGTCTTCTTTACTGGAGTAGCTCGTGGTGGAGAATGCAGTACTAGAATTGGAGGAAATGACGCTGTTTGCTCGACCTGCTTCGATGTGTGTAGAGGGAACTGACTCCTGTGAGCCGGAGCTGGGCCGTCTATTATCGTCCTCTCGACTGTTTCCAGACCGCTCCTTCATCGGTGACGGGATCCAGAGCTGGAGTGTTGTGTCTTCTTCAAACGATTCTTCCTTGCCGGGTCTAACAAATACGGCTCGTGCACGGGACCTGTTTCGGTTAACAAACTGTGCCAGCAAGCAATGGAACTAGGGGAACCCCACTCCATGAAACTCTCGGCAACCTTGAAATCAGTGAAGGCCTGCTGAAAGAGGAAAAGATCTCTCAGATCCATGAACAAGAATCGATAGGAGCTGGCTTTGTCCTCGAGGACGATCTCCAGTGGCGGTGTTTTGCCTGCCTTACCCACAGGGTCGGCATAGATGGGAATGAGCGTGGCTTTGCGCATGTTGATGTCCATGACACGCGACTCCACGACTGGTGGCTCACCACGAGAGCCCCAGGTTTCCACCAGTCGAAATCGGTGTTCGGCATGGGCTTGTCTTGATACTCGGACCGTCCTCCAAGCTGTGACGGCGGACTCCTTCGCGAGGGCCCTGGGGCTGTAAGTCAGCAAGAGCGCGGCACTTCCAATAAGGGTTGCTAACACTTCGACGACATCAATATAGAGTGGACCGATTGCGGGATGGGGTGTCTTGGTAGGCTTATCGTCTGAGTGCCATATCTCGAGCCTTTTGTCTTCGCAATTTGACACGTCGGGTGTCGTAAGTTCAGTCTCGAACCTCGAAGACTGCTGAGATAGTTTCTGCGTACCTGATGAGCACATGTAAACACAGGCATGCGTGAAAAACCCACCTCTTCGAGAGCTCTCACATATCCCGGCCAATGTGACATCCTTCGCGGATTCCGTAGCTCGTTGGTGTCTTTCATTCTATCCATCACGAGCTGGCATTTGAGGAGTGCCAAGTACTGATCGACAGGAGGGGATTGCCTATCGTCGTCCACTGAGATAGGCAATATCACGGTGCTTTTCTCGAACTGGATGAGAAAGCAGTCGGCCATCTCATGCAGGGTTGGCGGCCGGCCCAGTTTGTGACGGTCGAACATGCCTCCCAGCCTGCCTAGCAACGGATCCGGGATTCTGACTGAGCAGAGTTCTTGCTCCAGCCGTTGCTCGATGGCCGCTGCGACATCTGGATAGTGCTGAGCGATGAGGGTGTCGATGTTTCGGTTGACGCGCAGGACGTCTACGTGAAGGCTTGTGATGCGTTGAGCCAAGTCTCCATGAAAGTTGTTGATCAGATCGCTGAGAAGGGCAAGGAATTAACATTTTCGTGTTTCATTGAGTGGTCTCCATAAGGAAGTCTTACATTTCGAAAGGCTTCAGAACATGCTGGATACGAGTGTTGTGCATCTGGATCCGGCTGCGCAGATAGTCAACCTGGGGCATGACATTGATGTTCCAGTTGATGTTCGTCGCAGGGCCCGTTGTCTGGGCATACCGTCGGTTGTCCCAGAGAAGCCTTTCGCACTCCACCAGCGTAGCCTCGTAGTCGCCAACAATCTCTGATAGTGAGGTCTGGTCGCCGCCCAGGATATCCCTGCTTTGGGCGCCATGTGAGATGAGCGACGTCTGGGCTCGTTTGATGGCACTCTCGAGCTGGCCAAGACTGGAGTGCAAGGCGCGCACGTCAGCGCCAAAGGCTTTGTAGTTTTCGCCTTGTAAATGTCAGCAAAATGATCATCGGTAGAGCTCCCTTCAACTTCGGCCCCTTCACGCGCCAGCTGGACAACGTCGAGGCATTCTGCGATGGCCTACGTTGAATTAAGATTGCCGCACGGACCATCGGGTCGTCACCAACCTGCATTGTTCTCCGATGCCCAACCCAAGCTCCATACAGTCCATGCAAGCTCAGCCAATCTGATAGCATCGCCTATTTGGATGGGTCCGGCCATGACAAATGAGTTGATGGAACAAGGCACAATCAGATTGCGATGTCGGGCGGTGACCGAAGATGCAGCAGAGTAGACCGATGAGCGGGCAGTATTCACCAGAAGTACCTACTGCTCAGCCTCGGAGGCGGAGGGCAACAGGGATGCGGGGGACGGCAGTGCGTCTCTATCTGTTGCCACGCTGGAGGCCTAGCCTTGCCTCACATGGACTTTGTGAAGTGGCGACCTCAGGCAACTAGGGCGCAGGAATTTGAAGGTGCGCAGAAAGTGAGGGAACACAGGGCTGGTAGCACAGCCACGATTGACGTAGTTCCCCCTTAACGCATAACGGAGGCGATTGATTCGGAGCCATGGCCATGGTAAGAAGCGCAGCAAAGCGGTTGCTCATACCACTCTGCACAGCACGACCGCGGTTGCTCCCGTCCATAGATATCCAACATGAACTAAGCCACTTTCTCCATCGGCTCCCAGTCACAGGCAGCAGGCGACGCGGCACTGCTGGTCTCCCGAGAAAGGCCTACGTACTCACACAGCATCGGCGACACGACGGTGCGTGCACTTTCAGCTCGCGCTCGGTATGCGCTGTAAGAGGCTCGGCTGGCAGATCTGCAAGGTTGACTGCAGGTTGGCAGGACGAGGCGGCGGCGCTAGCATGCGGGATCACCAAAAGGACCACAACTGGCCAAGCCGGCCGCAGGGGTTGACTGTTGAGCAGACTGCCTCGTCCGGGGAGGACCATGCGACGCCTGCAGAATGTGAGGCTGCTTTCCCCCTTTTCATCTGCACTCATCAATGACTTTGGAGCCAGTGCATTCTTGGTGGGGCTGGACGCCTAACCAGCCGAGTGCGACCCATTGCCGTCTTCATGGGAGTCAGGATTTCTTGACACTGGCGGGCGACTTGTTGCTTCTCTAACCACATGAGACACTTGATGCAAACTCCTGCTGATGATTCGCATCTCTTCCCAACAAATGGGCGCTCACTAATGCGCTTTCTAAGTTCCGCGATTCCTGTCAACACCGATCCCAGCACGTGCTTGACCACAACCCGTCCATGGATCACTCATCCTATACCCACAATGATGGTCCCTCGAGGATGCTGGTGCCCGAAACTGCCCAGCATGATGATGACCTCTTGAACACGGTTCTGGACATTCCCATTGATAAAAATCGTATCGTCACACGAGCTCCCGCAGAGCCTTTCCGCCTCACGTTTCTGGATGCGACCTGTCTCGTGATAAACCGGACAATAGGTTCGCAACATTTGCCACTGATACATGGTCTCGAGGAGTGAGTCGCTGACGACATGCTCCAGGAACTGGCATTTTTAGTGGTCCTCAGGAGGTGATGAAGGGCTGTCGCAGCCCTGGCATCGCCATCCTCATGTGGTGTCTCGGATGTGCATACGGCCTGGTGGGGTCACACGTCTACGTTGAGTACGGGCTCAATGTGCCCCGCTATGTCGTCAACGGAGTCGAGCAATCGGTCCCACGGTCTGGAGGAGAGCTCCACTATCTCCAATATGTGTTCCAGTGGCCGCGATACCGCAAAGGAACGATCATGCTGAGCGGCGTCATGTTTGGCATTTGCTTCATCTGCGTCGGCAACATGGCCAGCAACTGCATCGACTGCGCGCTGCGCATCCTCCAAGCAGCCAATCCCGAGAAATCCGCCCTGGATCTCAGCAAGGGCAGCGTGTATGGCATCGCCATTGCAATTGCAACGATTACCTGTTTCATCCACGCCTTCTCTCGACGCGGTGGAATTGTCCTCAACAACGTCCTTGCTTTTGTCAAGGTCTTTTTAATGATTTCCATGATCATTTCAACCTGGGTGGTTGCCGGTGGGTGGTCAGGGATATGGGGCTACCGCCAGAATCACATGAATGATGACCTCGATAAGGAGGTTCTTGAGTCTGACAGTGGTGCGAGCGGATACGGACAGGCGTTTATCACCGTTGGTAAGCCACGACACACTCTCGCAAGCGAATATAAAAACCTGACAAAACATAGTCTTCGCATATTTTGGATTCTATCAACCCAACTACGTGAGTTGCTTACAACGGCACCCAGTCAAGCTGAGATGTAGCTGACCAAGTTTGACAGGTCTTGGGTGAGACACAGAACCCACGGAGGAATCTACCGAGATCTGTTTGGTGGGGCATGGGCATCATATCCGTGCTCTATATAGCTGTCAATATTTGCTATGTAAGTTCCGCTAGGTCGACCATACTCAGTTCACGTGTTCGTGGCTAATCGAGGTGCCGCATAGATGATCATCGTCCCGGCCAGCGCACAGATTCACAACAACGTAGCTCAGGAGTTCTTCCGACGAATATTCGACAATGACAGACAAGCCAACCGGACATTGAATGCATTTCTCGCCATCTCGTCTTTCGGGAACATTGTGGTCTGGACATTTACCGCCGCTCGAATGAAGCAGGAGATCGCAAAGCAGTGCTTCATCCCCTTTGCTGGATTCTTCGCCAAGAACAAAGACTTCAGCCTCGGAAGGTTTCTGGTGTGGCTCGAAAGCGGGGGCAGGCATCCGCATGGCCGAAGGATCACGTTCCTGAACCCACAGAATCACAGGGAGAAGACGCCCGTTGGGGCCCTCGTGCTCCACCTCGCAACGTGCATCGCTCTCCTCATGGCAACATACGGTGCCTCGGTAAACAACGCCTACATAATCTTATCGAAACTCTTCACTTACATCCTCGCTGGCTGGTTTGGGAGCTTCCTAGCGATTGGTATCCTGATTCTTCATTTTCATGGCCCGCCCACGACGGAGCCAATTCAGACACCGAACTACAACCAGGTCCCAGAGCAAGAGCCGGTCCAAAAGAGCTGGAGTCAAATGATCAAAGGGACAGTAAATCCAAAGGTGGGAATTGTCTGTGCGATTCTGTATCTTATTGGCAACATGTTCCTGGTCACGATGACATGGGTCCCCCCCACGCGATCGTGGGTCTCAGAGGGGACTTCATGGTACGTCGTCCCACTCGCGGCATGGAGCGTGCTTGCCTTCTCGGCACTGTGGTTCGTTGGATTTTACGGTATAGCCGCATTCCGCAGTCGCATAGGCCGCAAGAAGTTCGTCTACATGACCGAACCTGAGTTTGAGTCTGCCTTGAGGAGCAGAGAGGTCGTGGAACTCGACGATGCGTCTAGACGGCACCGTGGCGGCCTGATCCTCTGTCACGAAACCATTTACAAGGGATGGCAGGGCACGGAGACAAAGGATTTGGAGACACCGGCCGTGGGTGATAGACACGGTTCCATTGCCCTGGGACGGCGGCTACCGAGCCACGATGGCGGGCAAGGAATGTCAGGCGCCGGCCTCGAAGGTACTGATTTTGACAGGAGTTAACTTCCTCTGGAATATGAACTTCGACAATGTTTCAGCGAGATTATATAGTGACATGCCATACCAAAATTCCATGGCCTGTTGCTTCCATGTTCCATTCATGGCCCTTCCAGCACTAGTTACATGCCTTAGGCGAGGTCCCGGGGATCAGTAGCAAGGTGGATGGCCACATCCCGACCCGTACCCCTGACTGTGCACGGACGAAAAGTGTGTGTTTTCGGAAAACATGAGATACCCTTAATATAGTAGGCTAGACTATGGATCAGACTGTAGTAAAGTAGCTAGAAAAGATATTTATCTTAAAGACCTAGCCTTCTAACCTTACTAAGCGAAAATCGTTAATATTTAATAGCTATAGAAGTTAAGAGATAGTAGTTTCTATATATCTATATTATTAATATAAGATTTATCTAATTTATTTACTTCTTTATATCCTTTATATTTTATAACTGCTTAATTTACTTATCTTCTTACTTTTTAAGTATTATTACTATAATTAAGTTAGATTTCTTACCTTTTTAATAGATTTAAGCTTAATTAAAAAGTAAAACTTTTTCTTTTATTATTTTAAAGCTTATAAATAAATACTTATTATATTAAACTTTAAAGCTAGCTAGAAAATAATTAATCTTTAATTAATATTAATTATTAAGCTGTTTTAAGGCTTCTTTTATTAAAAAATAATAATAAAGCTAAAAAGAATATAAAAAATATATATAATATATTTAATAGCGCTTTTTATATTAATAAAGACTTATTAAAGATATTATAGATTATATAATTAACTTTAAGGCGCCTTTAAGATTAAAAGGTTAAAGTACTATAATTAATTAATAAAATAATAATATATTTATAAAGAGATTATTATATAAAAATAAAATAAAGGGGTTAAATAAAAAAGATAGACTTTTAATAAAAGTATAATTATTTATTTAAATACTTAAAATATAAGTATAAGCTATTAAGCTAAAGATAATAAAAAAAGTTAAAATTAATTAAAGTAGCTTTATATTCTAGCTAATTATAGTAAATAGTAATTACTTTATTAAGTAATATTAATACTTTAGTTTATAGTCTTAATATAATTATTAAAGGGCTTAAAGAGCTAATTAATCTCTATATATAATTTTTAAAAGTAGTTATATATAGCTATTATAAAAGCTATAAAGTAATATTATATTATTAAGCCCTTTTAATAATATATTTAATATTATTTATAAGATAATTAATAAGAGTAAAGCTATTAATAATTATAACCTTTAAAGGCTATTTCTTAATTATAATATATACTTTATATTAAGAGCTACTATATTAAAATTTTCTATAAGCTTTTTAAATATTAATATAAAGGAATATTAATAATATTATAAGATATATTATATTAATAGACTCTTATTAAAATATAAATATAGTATTATAAATATAATATATTAATAAGCTAGTAATATAGAGTTTATATAATACTATAAATAATAATCTTATAATATCTCTTTAATTAACTTTTATTAAATAAGAAATAAATTAATAATAATAAATAAGTTTATAATAATATATCTTTTATATTATTAAAATAAGCCTTAATTAATTAATTACCCTTTATTATATAATATATTTACTTAAAAAGTATCTATTAATATTAAGAAAGGGGATAAAGTTAAATAAAATCGATCTTAAAAGAGTTAAGTAAATAATAGTTTATTAAGTATTTTATATAAGTAATATTTAAATATCTCTATATAATAATGCTTAATTAAATTATATAAGTATATTTTATTTAATAAGAAGCCTATAAATAGATTTTTAATATATATTAAGATAAAGTTAATAATAATAAGATTATAAATATACTTTAATATAAATAATTAAGAGGGTTATAATATTATTTATAATATAAGGACTAATAATATATAGCTATTTAAAGTAACTATTAGCCGCCCCTCTTTTATTATTATAAAAATACTTAACTTATTTAAGTTATATAATTATATTTATATAGCTTACTTAACTTACTTAAAGTTATATAATTAATTAATATTAAGGGTTAGTCCTTAAGGTCCGAGCCTAAGCTTAGCCTAAGCTATTTATTAAGTTATATAGCGCTATAAAGTAAAAAGGGGGCGTTATATAAAGAAAAGGGGTACTATAAGTATAAAAGTAGCTAGCTTATATAACCTTATTTTACTTCCTTATAGTATATTTAATATTAATAAGCTAATTAGCTCTTACTTATTAAAGCTAGCCTTATTATAATATATATTATTAATCGATAAAATAATATAAAGGAATAATAAATAGGATTATATTAAGTAGACTAGCCTTATAGCTAGCGCTTATAGCTTAATAAATAAGAATAGCTTAATAAGTAATAATAAAGTAATAAGTAATAATAAGGTAATAATCCGCTACTTTAAGTATAGAGTAAATACGCCTCTTTAATATACTTAATATAATTATATTTAATAATTATATTAAAGAGGCTTTATTAAAGACCTTAAAGGGTCTAGCTATAGCTATAATTAAGGGGACTATAACCTTAATTCTAGCTACTATATTAACTATAATAAATAAAGTAAAATCGAAGAAAAGAAAGCTATTTATATAATTAAAGTAAGATAGCTAAATAGACTCTTTTTACTTATACTTAAAGTAGCTATAGTTTAAGTATATTATTAATAAAGTAAAAGATTTAAATAAGGTAGATATTATAGTTTAATTTAAGGTTTTATATACCCTTTTAAAGCCTAAGATATAAAGTATAGAGGTATTTTAAAAAGAAAAGGGGATTAATAATAAAAGAGACTTTAAGGATTTCTTTTTATACTTTAAGTAAATCTTTAGGAATATATAAAAGAAAGAGAAAGTATAAGATAAGCTATAGACCTTTATATAAAGGGATAAATAAAGGTTTAAGGACTTTATTTTAGACTTTAAGAGTATTTTTATAATTATAAATAGCTTTTCTTAAGATAATACTATAAAGTATACTTAGCTATAAAACTCTTTTTTTTTATATTTAAAGAATAACTTATTATAATTATATTAAAACTTAATTTCTATAACTTTATTTAATAGCTATATATTATTATAGCTAACTTTAAAGTAATTAATTAATTTAAGAAACTTAAAAAAAAAATATTAATACTTAATTAATTAATAAATTACTTTCTATAAAGTAAAGAAAGTAAAGCTTAAAAGTAAAAAAAAGGCCCTATAAATAATACCTATTATAGACTATAAAGGAGATACCTTTATAACTTTTATTTATATTATAAGTTATAGTCCTAGACTTAAAACGATAAAGACTTAAAGGAATACCCCTTTAAATATAAATAAATAAGCTAAGTAAATATTTAATAAGGAAAGAAATAAGTAATATAAGTAAAGGCGCTATTTATATTATAAAAAGAGTAAATACTTAATTTATAATTATTTTTATACTTTTATTTATTAATTAAAGAAAAATAAAGTAATCTTAATAAATTATATAAAGTTTAAATTAGAACTTAAGGATAACTATAATATAAAAAGCGGAACTAAGAATATAGAGTTTACTTAAAGAAATATATTACTTTAAAGTAAAGTTATACTTTAAGGCTATAAGAGGTATTAATATAGAAAGAGAGGCTATAAGAGTACCTTAAGATAGACTTATTATTAATCTTAGTCTCGATTAATAAAGGTCTCTTATAAACTATATTTATAGATAAGGGATATTAATATTATATAATAATAGATAAAGAGGTTATTTAAGACTTTAAATTATCGCTAGAAAGGATCTACCTTTATAAAGTAAAAGGGGTCTTTAGTATTATAATAAAAGCAATAATTAAAGGTTTAATATAATTAATTATAAAGATTAATAAAACCCCTTAATTAATATATATTTATATAATACTTAAGCTTAAGTTCTTTTTAATCTTAAAGAAACCTTAACTTTAATATATAAAGTTATACTCTATTTTATATAAAAAGAAGCTATAATATAGCCCTTTATAGATATAAGTATAATATATATATAGTTTATATTTAAGAAATAGCCTTATAAAGGATATTAAAAATATATAATATATTATTATTATAGCCTTTATAAGCTATATAAAGAGGATCTATAAAAAAGAAAGCTATAATATAATTAAGGCTATAATCTTTATTATTAGCCTAAAAGATATTAAAAAAGCCTTATCCTTAAAATAACTTAAGTTTAAGTAAGAGCTTTTATATATAATCCTTTTATATTTCTATAACTTATTCTTATTCTTTATAAAATAAGAAGTAAATAAGCTTAATTTATATAAGCTTAATATCGATTATTAAATCCCCTTTAAGAAAGGGCTTAATAAATAAGACTTATTTATATTATATAAAGTATTATATAGAATATTATAAAAAGAGCTTTTAATACTATAAAAAATACTTAATAACCTCTTAAATAAAGGGTTTATTTAAGTAAATAACTTAAAAGTAATAATATTAATCTTATTTATATAAAAATTAAAAAATAAGCTCTATTTTTATTATAATTATAAAGCCTTTAATATAATTATAAAAATAGATTATTATTTAATTTTATTTATTAATAATACCTTTTATAATTTAATAAAAGCTTATTAATTTATTAAATTAGATATAATATAAATATTCTATAAAGTATAAATTATACTTAAAAAAGAATAGAAAATAATATTCTATATTAAATATAAGCTCTTTAAATAGATAATTACGCTATTTAATTTAAGTAATATATTTATTACCTTTTAATACTATATTAATAGTATTTTATAAAAGTTCTTTAATAACTTTTATTTTATTTATATAAATAATATATTAATCTATATAAATAAGTTACTTAAAGAATATTATATAAAGGTATAATAAGTCTTAAAGTAACTTTAAAAATATAGCTTTTATTTAGACTTAAATAAATATAAGTTTAAGGTTAAGACTATAAAATATCTTAAGTTTATTATTTATATAAAGTATAATATTAAAGTAAACCTTACTAAAATAAAAGTAATAATTAAATAGCTTACCTTAATAATATAAAAAAAAGTATAAAGTTTCTTAAAATTTATTAATTATTATTAAATATTTATATTTAATTTCTTAAAGATAGCTACCCCTTTAATATCTTTAATAAGAAAAGGGGCCTTATTTATATAAAAATAAAAGTATTAATCTACTTTTTAAATACTTAAGTAATTATTTATTTAAGCGTTAATTTTAAGTTAATAAGATTTAGACTTATTTACTTTCTTAAAAGTAGATTATAATAATATTATATTTAATAATATATTTATATAAAAAGTTAATAAAGAAAAGAAATTAATTACTTTTTATTTATAAAAGCTTTTATTTATAGAGTAAATTTACTTTATCTATAATAAAGAGATATTAATAATAGTTTATTACTTAAAGTAATAAGATATAGAGCTTTATAGTTATATAAGCTTTATAATCTTTATAGACTATAAGAACCTTAAATACTTTATAATATAATAATAATTATTAAAGTAATAAGTATATTAAATAAAGCTATTTTTATATTTTAATTTCTCTTTAATCTATAAATTAAAGAGGTTAGTAATAATCTTTAATATATTATTAAGAAAGGATTAAAACTAAAAGATAAAAGAAGATTAAGAGGCTCGAGATTTATAGCTCCTCTTAAAAAGCGCTCTTTATATCTATATATAAAGGATATAATTAAAAGTAAGTAATTTAAGAGGTATATTAATAGACTTTAAGCTTTACTCTTTATAAAAATAAGAAGCTTAATAAAATATTACTTATTAAAGTATATATTATTTAATAAAAAGTAATATTTATATACTAAACTTAAAGCTTAAGCTAAAGGTATAAATAATAAAGTATAGTATAGACGCTAAAGGATATTTCTTTTTTTAAGATTACTTTTAAGTATTTAAGGCCTTTTTTATTTTAAAAGCTAAAGTAAAGGCTACTTTTATAGGAATAAAGGGACTTAATAAATTATAAAAAAGGCTTATTTAATAAGCTTATAACTTATTTATAATTAAGTATTTAAGTAAAAAAAGTATTATAACTTTAATAATAAAAGAGTTTTATTAGCTTCTTTTATAGTAATATATTAAAAGGTTCTTTTATAATTATAATATTTATAGCTATATTAAGATTTAATAAGAATATAAAAAAGGGCTATTTAAGCCTTTATTTATATTAAAGTAGTTTTACTATTAAATATAAATAGACTTTATTATAGACCTCTTTTTAATATATAAAAGTTACTTCCTTTAAGTTATAAAAGATTAATTAAATAAAGAAGTAATCCTTAAGCTTATATTATCTATAAATATAGAGGCTTATATAAAATACTTTTTATAGTATTATATTTACTTTTATAAATAGCTAGTAATAATAATAAATAATAAAGGCTTTAATTAAATAAATAAGTTTTAATAATACTTATATAAGCTAGTTAATATAAAATAATAGCTTAATATAATATATTACCTTTAGATAAATAAAGGTATAAAAAGAATTAATTAAAAGATATAAATATACTTTAAGGTATATATTAACTATAATTAAAATAATTAAAATTAATAGCTTTTTATAGCTTAGCTTATATTAAACTTAAAGACTTCTACCTTTATTAAGATATCCCCTTTTTTCGCTTTATATAGTTTTTACTTATAATTAACGTTATTAACTTTTACCCTTTTATAAATAAAGAATAGTAATAAAATAACCTTAAAGTAAAGAATAGAAGTATTTATAATAAAGATTAAGTAAGTTATAAACCTTTATAAATCCTTTATAGCTATAGCTATATAAAAATAAGAATAGCGTATTAATTATATATATAAGTTTATAAATAAATATAAAGTTAAGGATAAAGTCTAGCTAGATTTATAGAACTATTCTTTAATAAGACTTAAAAAGAAACTTAATTAGCTTTATTTAAAATACGCTATAAATAAGGTCTTAAGTCTATATATAATAAAGCTATTTAAGCTACCTATAAGTATCTATAATTAGTTTTATATAAATTAACTCCGCTAAGCCTTAAGGGACCTTATTTTAAGTTAATAGATTATTAATTAATAACCTATTTTTATAAAGATAAAAAAAAAGGAATATTATTTAATTAAATAAGTCTTAAATATATAAAAGTATAAATAAGGGTAAAGGAAGAAGTTATAAGCCTTTATTAAATAATAAGGTTACTTTAAGTTTATATAAAAGCTACTTAAAGAGGTATAATATATTATAGCTTTTAAGCTTTTTTAATAATAAATAGCTTAGCTATATACCTTTATAAAGGTTATAATAATTATAATAAGGTATAAGTATATATAGAGGTTTTATTAAAAAACGTAATTATTTATTCCTTTAGCCCCTTACTTTAATATAAAAAGGGGCTATTCTTAAAGGAGCGTTTATTCTATTATCTCTTTATCTTTATCTTTTTCTTTTTCTTCCTCTTCCTTTATTTTATAAAAGGCGATAACTTCCTTTATTACTATAAAGTAAGTAATAAAGTCTCGGACCTTAATAATAAAGTTAATAATAATATTAATAGCTATAATAAAAAGGGTAAAAGTAATAAAGGAAGTAAAAAAGGTATTATTAAAGGTAACTATAATAATATTTTTATTTTAAGGTTAATACTTATATATATAATAATATAAAAGATAAAGGTTATTTACTTAAATATAAAGCTTACTTTCTTTAAGATTAAGAGATATTACTTTATTATATAAATAATATTTAATACTTTCTTAGCTTTTTTCTTTACCTTATTAATAATAATAACCTCTTTCTTATTAATAATAATAAAGAAAGTAATAATAATAATAATAATAGCCTTTTAAATATATTATATAATACTTATAGCTTAAACTATCGCTTAATATATATAATTAATAATATAATAGCTATAATACCTATTAATTACTTACTTTATATAGCTTATATAAATAAGCTTTATATATATATAATATATATATAGCTAAGAATAAAGCTCTTTTATAAAGTTATCCTTTTTAAGTTACTTTTATATATTATATTAAAAAGGCTTATATATATAAAGGAGGTATTAGCTTAAAGGAAGGGACTTATAGATAGGGTCGATAATAGTGATAATAAATAAGAATAATATTTACTTTAAAGGGCTATATTAATAAAAGTAATAATAAAAAGAAAGTAATAATAATAAAGGGTAGTAATTAAAGGGATAAGTAAAGAGGATTAAAAGGGGGGTAAGTAAAGAGGATTAAAGAGGGGGTAAGTATAAGCTTAATAAAAGTAAGAAAGAGGCAGTAAAGGTAAGTAAGCCTAAGGGTATATATAAGGGCGTAAGGGAGCTAGAGGAGGTATAAAAGGGCATAAAGGAGCTAAAAGAGGTATAAAAAGGCATAAAGGAGCTTAAAAGTAAGTAAGAGCTTAAAGAGGTAAAGGAGCTATTAAGGTATAGTAATAATAATATAGATAATATAAGAGGTATCTATATCTTAAGTTAATAGCTATTATTATAGCCCTATAATATAAAATAAAGTAAGAGTAAGGGATATACTTTATTATTATTATTATTATTATTATTATTATTATTATTATTATTATTATTATTATTATTATTATTATTATTATTATTATTATTATTATTATTATTNTTATTATTATTATTATTATTATTATTATTATTATTATTATTATTATTATTATTATTATTATTATTATTATTATTATTATTATTATTATTATTACTATAATAATAATAAGGCTATAATAAAGTAATAATATTAAAGGAAGAAAGGGACCTCTTTTTAATATAAGAGAAAGCCTCCTTTATATAAGTATATTAAATTAATTACTAATTATATAAATTATAAATATACTAGTTAAATAGCTATTATATAGCTCTCCTATTTAATAAAGGGTAGCGACTTATAAATTAGCTCTTAGCCGAGTAGCTATTAATAGCTATATATAGCTTAGTTAATATAAATAGTAATAATTATAACTTATTCTAGGCATTATAAGTACCTTACCTATAATTTTACTTAAATCTATACTATTTTATAAAGGCCGCGCTCCTTTATAAGCGAGGCCCTTATAGCTATATATAAAAGGGAGGAAGGGGGTAATATTAAGGGTTAATCCTTAAGGTCCGAGCCTAAGCCTAGCCTAGGCTACTTATTAAGTTATATAGCGCTATAAGGTAGAAAGGGGCGCTATATAGGGAAAAGGGGCACTATAAGTATAAAGGCGGCTAGCTTATATAACTCTATTTTACCTCCTTATAGTATATTTAATATTAATAAGCTAACTAGCTCTTACTTATTAAAGCCAGCCTTATTATAGTTAAATAAAGGCTTCTATAAAAATAAAGAGATCTTCTCTAAAAGTATTATATATTCCTTAAAGGGGCATATTTATTTATTTAAGGTTATATTAAAATTATATTAAAAAGCTTATATTATAAGATTAATATAAATATATTACTTATTTAATAATTTATATATTTAAGGCTAACTTCTTTAATATTATATATAAAATATTAATATACTTAAAGAAAAAGTAAGAATATTTATTAATATTATACTTAAATATAATTATATCTTAATTTATAGCTCTTTATATTACTTTTATTACCTTTCTTATTATAGCTTCTTTAATAATTAAGTTAACTATAATATATTTATTATAGTTAGAAATATTATATTATACTTATTTTATATTATTATTTATTAAATAAGAGTAAATATTAAGAAAAGATATAGCTATATTAATTACCTCTTATTAAATATTATATTATTAAATAAAGAATATTAAAATAGAGAGGTAATTAAAAGTATTATTATTAAGGATATAGCTATAAGGCTTAATTTCCTTCTTATTTTAAGTATAAGCCTTTAAGTTTATAATTTAAAACGACTTATTAATAAGCTTATAAAAGCTATATTTAATTAATAAAAGATAGTTATTTATATTAACTTATCTAAGAGATATTTATAAAGTAAGCGAGTTAACTTTTATATATATATACCTTATAATAAATAAGTTAAAGACTTAAAAAGAAGAAGTTAATTATTTATAATAAATTAAGCTTAGTAAAAGATCTTATTATTATTAACTAAGCTCGTTTTAGTTTAAATAGATATTAACCTCTATTATTTATTTTAGGAGATATCCCCTTTTATAAAGATACTTATAGTTAATAAGCTAAGGTATATATATAATATTATTAAATAGACTCCTTATTATTATAGTTAATTTTAGAGTAAGAAGAGGAAGTATTACTCCGAGCTATTATATACTATATTAAACGCTAGACCTTATTAAGATCCCTTAATCCTTTAGTTATTTTAAGCTCTTAAGTTAAATAAATACTAGCTAAAATAAGCTAGCTATCTTTATAAAGATATTATAGTCTCTCTTATAGTCCCTTTTATACTTAAAACTAATAGTCTCTTAAGTAGCTTATACCTTTAATATATCTTATATATAGCCTGCCGCTCGAGTTTATTAATATTAAGCCTTTACCTTAATAGCTTTCTCCTTTATTATAAACGCTCTTACTTAATAATAAGCTTAAGAGTCTTAATAATATATATTAAGTATCGCTTATTAATATAGCTAAGGGTTAATTAATATTCCGAGCCTCCTTTAATAAAGTTAAGGCATTATTTAATATTTCTATTTAAGTCTATCCCCTTACTTCTTAGTAGCTCCTTATATCTTTCCCTTCTTTTATTACTATCTTAAATATAATTATTAATAGTATTCTAGCTTAATTAAAGCTAAAGCCTTAAATATAAGCCTATCCTTAATAATATATATTAATACTAATCGGCTTAATAGTTAAAGCCTAGCAGTAAATAATATAAAGATTAACTATAAGTTATAATTTAATAATAGCTATCTCTAAGAGGCCTTAAAATAATAGTTGATAATATTATTATTATAGTAATAAAGAACGGAAAGGTATTTACTATATTTATACTTATTTATAATATAATAATAGTTAAGGACTTAGATATAATATATTAAAAGAAGTAAGAATATATTAAGCCCTTAGATAATACTGCGCTTAAAGCTATAAAGGTATACCTTTAATAAAGGTTCGCTTATTAAAGGCTTTTATAATAAGATAGTTAATATTATATTATATTTAATAAAGTTTCTAATCGCTATTACTTAATATATAAATACTAGCCTATTATATTTAAATAGATAGATAAACAATAAATAGCTCTTATAGTATAGATAATTTAAGATCTAAAAATAATTAAGCTAGGTAATAAAAATATATTAGCCCTAAGGTTATTTAAGTCTTAAGAGCGTTATATAAATATTTAAGGCTCTTTAAAGTTTAATTATTATTATATAGCCTCTTATTATATTCCTTTAATTAATAATTTATAAAGAAGTTAAGTAAAATTAATAAATATACTTTAATTACTTAATACTTTATTATAAATTAATAAAATAACTATTACTCTATAAGTATAAATATTAGCCTAAGCTATATTAAGAGATATCTTTACCTATTATAAAATATAAATATTAAATAAAGGAGTATTAATTATAAAGTTATTTTCTATAATATTATATATTATCGATTAAGCGCTTATTAAAGTCTAACTATAATAACTACCTCTTAGTCTAAATTAACTAGTATTACTTAATAATAAGCTTATAATATATACTATATTAATATATAACCGTTATTCGCTATAGTATTATAAGGAGAATTATCTAATTAGTATATTATATCTATTTATAACGTATAGAGATTCCTTTATACTATTAAAACAGGCGTTAGTTAGTCGCTTGCCCTTTATCGCATGGCATATTCGCCCGAGAAGTGTCTGTTAAGATTCGCGGCTCATTGTGTGCTTCCTTAGCACCGAGATGCGCTACCTCGAGCTCCTGCTATCGGCCGTCGAGGACGCCGAAGCGCATGCGGTGCCGCCGCCGCCGCCGCCACCGTCATCGGCCCAGCAGGAGGACGGCGGCGATGGCACGCGGGATAATGGCGGGAGGGAGTAGCAGTGGGAGCAGCGATACGATGTGCTTCTGCGGCTGTCGCATCAGCTCCTCGCGCTGTTTGACCTGGCTACCATTTCGTCGGTCGATGTCGAGGACGCGGCGGCGGCCATGCAGATGGCGAGTCTCAAGTTGCCCGATACTCCGATCGCTCTAGCCTTTTGATCTTTCTCAATTTCTCAGGGGCACGATTTAACGCCCATTAGCAGCATGGCATACTCACGTCACAGAGAGCCGGTCGTCATCGTGGCCGGTCATGTGATCGGCTTGTGTTTGGTGCAGTACCAGGCTCGGAAAGTCGATGGGGCATGATTACAGGACTCGCCACCCGGTCACGCAGGCCGCCACGAGAGCTCTCAAAACAGCCTGCCGCCCCTGCAGCCTGGTGCCGCGACAACCCCAATCACCAAATCTTCCCTGGCAGTGCTCCTGAATCCTCGATCCTTATCGATTTACCAAACCAGCCCCAACATGCCCGTAATAAGAATCCCGATCGGTGTTCCAGCGGATACGCCTCCTCCCAGTGCGATCACTGCTCCAGCAGATGCACCTCCTCCCAGTGCGACCATTGCTCCAGCAGATGCGCCTCCTACCAGTGCATCGTCCGTGGTGATGGACGCTGGTGCTAGGCGCGTCATGACGAGAATTATCAACGCCATCCGAATTCGCTTTGGCATGGCCTCGCGGCCCGACAGAGCTTGCTGAAGGAGAGGCGATGATGCAGGTAGGTATTCTCCAGCGCCCGCTCCGCCCCCCCCCGCCCCCAAGCATGTTGTCATAACTACCTTGCTAACCGCTACAACCAAAGACCAGGCCAGCTTTAAGAGTCATATCTGATGCACCGGTGACCGGGAAAGCAACGTACCACCGTCCATACCGTCGATTCTTTACAATACCTCGTCGTCGTTGTCGGATCTCTGCCCTAAGATTGCTCCCCGGCCGAGAGCCGTTTGCATTCTGCAACAGTTACAAAGAGTTGGTTGCTCCTGAGAACTAGGGTGTAGAGGAGCGCGCACGTTTGGCTTTTGCAGAGAGACTGTGATATTAGAGAGATACCTTCAGTTTAGTTGTTTTTAGATTCAGACCAAGAAACGAGCTGTCATCTCCTTACGAACTGTCCATACTCGTGCGAAGTAGTCATTTGCGGTGACAAGCGCCAATACCGGGAGCATCATCCCACTCCCAGTGCGGGGATTCCCCTGCCAAGCACTAACGACTGGACCTGACTTCTGTTCCTACAGGGGGTGGAGACGCCACGTTCAGGGGACCTTACAGGGGCTCTGACCAATC